GTCTTGTGAAGAATCCTAGAAAATACTAAAATTTTAAACATATCGATACATGTTGACAAAATATCGCGATATATCTTTTAGGATGCACGTTTTGTGTTCCAATTTAGTATTTATCAGGCCTTCAACCTAAATACTATATCTGTAAAAACCAATGTAGGATTTAAGTTCCATTACCTTTTGAAAGCACCTACAAACGTGAAATCGTATTGCACCATCATTGTTCATTGAAAAATGTTCCTACATTGAAAAAAGTTTACACAAAGTAATAAAATACACAAGCTACACTGCCACAATTGATATATTTGCACCTTTTCCTTTTTATTGAATAGTACTTGGCACAACAGTCACTTTACTGTATTGTTCATCTGACTGTCCAGTAGTACTTTGTGGCAGTGGCTTCTCAAACCTTTCATGTTGCACATACGATGATGACAACGTCGACGTTCTATGTTGATCTAGCTTTGGATTCTCTGCTATGGTAACATATCCAGTACTCTGTTTAGTCGTAATAATTGATTTATCTGCGTCTAACTTCGAGCTAGGCTTTGTACCACTTGTTTGCCAACACAGAGGATATACAGTTGTAACATCTTCTTCTGTTTCATCTATCACTTCTGAAATAGGAGTATCTGATTTTCCTCTTTGTTGTAGCATTTGAAATACAGAACTTGCACGAACATATGGTTGAGAACCATCAGTTGTTGAAGTTTGAGGCACAGTGGTCTTCTGTGAAGACTCTAAAGTAACTGTTTGAAGATTTGGTTTCTTTGAAACTTCAGAAATCGATGATACGGAAACATAAGGTTTCGATGATGTATCGAGCGTAGATGCTAAAGTAGTAGTTGGACTTACAAAAGAGGAAACAAATGGTTTATTGCACGAGTCAGTTAAAGATGTAGCTGCGAATGGTGTAGACATTGTTGTGCTTCTTGTACCATCAATGTTGCTTAGGGAAAATGGCTTCTTCAATGGATCAATTAAACCTGTTTGCACATATGGTTTAGAAGCTTTGTCAGAAGGTGAAAACGAAGTCAAAGATTCTAATTTTGATTTGTTTGATTCAATAAACGTTAATTCATCTAGATCGTGTAAAGTATCAATATTTTTTTTATCTTTTTGTTTCTGTTCTAAAGATGCCAAAGTAATGTATGGATTTGTAGATTTAGATTCTGGCTTGGTAGATATTAATGTATCTGCAGTGGATTCAGTTAAATCACTATCATCTTCTGACTTCGATTTTATAGACTTAGGAACTGTTCCTATAATGCTATAGCCACCTGCAGTTGAAGTTTCTTTAGGAACAGGGCTTGGATTACTAGATAATTCTTCTGATGATGGCATACTAATGTAACCAGTCGAAGACCAAGTATGTTGTGAAGTTGTGTAACCTGTACTATCAGTTAAATTAGGTGTAGATCGTGCCAAAGATAATGTGTCTCCAATGATAGGCTCTCCAGATTTTGTAACTTTCACGTATGATTCCCACCGTGCTGTTTCCGTAAATGGTTTAGTAATTCCAACATTTCTCTGGCGAAGACTCGAAGATTCCCAAGCTGGTAGAGTTTCGAGTAATTTATTGGGCGATACCGGCATCGGATCTATCTCTGTACCACTATCACTTGAAACTTGAGAGTCTGATGTTAGCGAAGAGGTAACAGATTCTTGTCCGCTTGAGCAACCACTTGAATCAGCAGAAGATTGTCGTATATGTTGTTCACCCACTTTTTGAAGAAGTTTCTATAATAAAAATATTTAAAATGTTTAAATATTTCAAAATATAAATAATAAATATAAATCTTTTAATGTGCATATGATGAGATAATCAATTTATTTTTATACACAGTACCATATTTGGTGCTAATCCTGGTGGTAATTTAACTTCGACATCTTGCATAGCTTTACATTTCAACCACATTCTATAACAGACAAAAAATATATGTAAATAAGAAAATTTATTTTACAAAATATTCAGTATTTAATGAAGAATTATTCATACCTTTTTGATACATGTGCAAGACAAAGAAGAAATGCTACAATACTAATACCTCCTATTACCCATATTATAACCCATACACTGAATGATGGCCCTATAATATAATATAATTATTACATAACTATTTTAATTAAAAAATTATCCAAAGAAAGAAAAAATTGATTTTATATTTACCATCACTATAACAGTTTCCTTCACCAGGTTCAGACCAGGGACCTTTTAAATGTGTATTATCTGATGCAATATTAACAGCTCTTACACGAAACTGATATAATCTTTCTTGTCCTAGAGTTTTACAATCAGAAATAGGTATCTGAGCCTCTGAAATATTTATTAATGATAAAATAATTTTATTAATATTAAAAAATGAATGAAAAAATTCTTTTTATATAACATTTCAATTATTTATGGTCATATAGCAAAAAGAAGAATGTATAACAAATAGTGATAATAAATATTTAAAAAATTGCATTTTTTAAATATTTTGTTAGTTTTCTCATAAATTTATATATAGTATATAGTATAACAATTATAAAACAATCTTCTGCAGAAATGTATTTTTATTATAAAAGAATTGTATCAATTTTTCATAAATGCAAGAAAAATTCCTATATAATTTATATATAAACATATAATAAATGTAATTTTTCAAAACAAAAATAATCCTTTTTAAATAAAGTTCTATTGAATTATTCATAAGTAATTTAATTTAAGCTAATTCAAATCATGTTTACACCATTTAAAATAAATCAAAATGTAAATCAAAATAGTATTATTTTTATTACTATAAATATATTATAATATAAATAAAAAAAAATTTATTATAATATAAATAAAAATACTATATTTTTGAATTTGTTTTAATGTTCTCTGTAATAAGAAAAAAATATATTTATTTAATATATCTTATATTTATATTTATTATTCTAAATATACTTATTACTAAAAAATATACTTATTTATATATATTTTTATTTAAGAATACCTTTTAAAAATAATTATAAAATATTATTAATTTTATAAAATATTTTCAAAATTATTATTGTTACTGTTGTTATTATTTGTTATACATTCGATAACGATAAATTTTCGTAAATAAATTTTTTTGTTCCATATGATTGAAAAAATGAATAAAAAATTATATAGTGCATTAAAAAAAATATTTTAATTTATTTACTAATTTCTGAATATTTGTTAAAATATTACCTGTTCTAGTACTATTTTGTATTTCACCGTCACTTAATATTTCATAATAATTCAAATATCCAGCAGAATATTCGGGTTTATTCCAAGTAACAATCACTTGGCTTGAATTCATAAAGCGTACGTTACGTATATTCACTATTCCCGGTATTCCGATTTTCGTAATCTTGGAAATTGTAGGCGATTTTATACTACAAGACACAGTACATGCTGCTATGCTAATACTATAATTCGTATGTGCTAATAGGCCTTTTAATTCAATATGATTTGCTTCTTCAACTTTTTGCATATGATCGTTATAATAAACCTCATAATAACGCAATACACCATTCATTGCTTCTGGTGGTTTCCAAGTAATGTACATTGTCGTATTTGTTACATTAATAATTCTTACATCCTGTGGTGGAGTTGTTGGTGCAGCTTCAAGTGTTGTATTATATAAAGGATCACTATGCAATCCTTCTCCACTTTTAGTTAGAACAGCAACAGCTAACATATATGTTGTATATGGTTTTAAATTGTTCACGATGCCATGAATGGTATGAGGATCGGCTTTTATCGTTGTATTAAGTTTTGGACCTTTACAATTCAGATTATATGGCGAAACAATAGGGCAATAATAAATATTAAATCCTTCTACTATTCCAATGCGATCCGAACAATCTAATTTCCAACCAACTTCAATAAAATCCGAACCAATTCGATTTATCCATACAGACTTCATCTTTCCAACAACTTTGTTATGTATTACAGTACATGATGCCCATACCATACCGCTGCTACCTTTATTCGTATTTGCAGAAATTGCAAATTGATATACTTTATCGGGGTCTGGTACTGTCATATTATAAATTGTTGTATTTTTTGATACATGTACCCAATCTAGATAACCCTGTAATCATCAATTCTAGTATTCTATTTTCCTTTTTTTTTTATTAATGAAATTGTCAACAAATACATACATTACACTGATAAGGACGATCGCGTTCATTATCACACCAAAAAATTGTATAATTTACGATTTCTCTATTCATATTAGGTGGTTTCCATGATAATTCATATAGACCTCCATCAAATGCAATTTTTGTAAATGCTACAGGTTCTTGTGGTACTGTAATATAAACACATTATTATTCATTTACAATGTGATTTACAATACATGAATTATATATTATAAATCTTTATTTTTTCTTTTTTTTAATAATCTTACTTTCGTATTGACTAGGTACAAAAATTTTAGCACGTTTTTTATTCGCTCCAACAATGTTTGTTGTAACAATTTCGAATCTATAATTAGAATGTATTTTAATTCCTTTAAATTTAGCATATGTTCTCGTAGTTTCATTCGGCACAAGTGATAATTTTCTTCCATTTTCTTCTACATGAACAATTTCATACTTGAAAGAATCACCATTTTCTAAATACTGTGGTATAGCTTGCCAGTACAAATATACGTCCCTACTAGCACTGTTCTCTGCTATTTCAAAGCTTCCAATATCGGTTTTTGGAGGACGGCCAGGTACTAAAATATCAAATATATAAGAATATAAAAAATATTTCGAGAAATACCTAACAATACCTAAAATTAAAATTACAAGAAACACAACTTACATCTTGGTGGTGTCCTAAAAGTAACGTCACTAAAGTTACTCCATTTGTCTTCTCCAGTCGCGACAGCACTTTTCATGAAAACTCGTACATCATATGCAGTGTTTGCATATTCCAATCCAGTAAGATTATAATTTCTTCTATCCAAGTGAATATCATTCGTAATATTGATTACCTAATATATTCATTATTAGTGGGGAATATATCATATTTTCAAACATATTGTATTGTAATACAAATAAAGATTTTTAAATTTACCTGCCAAACTTTTTGATGATCCCATTGATTTTGATACATGATTCTATGATATAATCCAGGTGGAAAATTTTGCATTGGATAAGGCACACTCCAGTGCAATAATGCACTATCAGATGTTTTATTAATAACTGATAGATTAGCTGGTTTTGCAGGAATAACTAAAAAAATTTAAATAATGTTGTAAATTATAATAAAATTATTTATTATTAATCAAAATTAAATAAAAAAAATACAAACCATGAGCAAAATGATGAAATTTATATGTAAAACTGCTGTTTCCAAGAACATTATTTACATTCAATATAAATGTATAATATTCATATGGTTGTCGATAAATTGGATTAGTAGATGTATCCCACAAACACATATTTCGTTTTTCATCTTTTTCTTGTTTTGGACATGGATATAATTTTCTACCTCCTGCTCTTCCCGGTAATTTAAATACAAGTGTATGTGTTGTTGTAACATAATTTTGGACAGGTTCCCATGAGCATATCATATTTTCCCAATTATAAGATACACAACTAAAGTTTTGTGGTTCTTGAGGTTTAACTATTAATAATTAGTAAATAAATTATTATATATTTCTTTTTCAAATTCTAAAAAATACTATACTAAGAATATATATAAATAACTCTTTTGTATAAAAGTTTTTTGTATTTATAATCTTATCTTAAATGACAGTCAAATATGAATTCCAAGATACAAAACACATTAAATGATATAATCCTTATGAAAGCAGACATTGAATGCTTACTTTTGTATTCATGAAATACTTTTAGCCTATTCTGATAAGTTTATATTAATGATCTATCTTAATAAGAAGCTATGTACTATATTAATTATAATTTTTTTTATTTATAAAAATAATTAATCTTTAGAATTAAAAAAAAAATACTTACAACCAACCACAACTTTATTCAAACAAACTGCTTCTAGTTGCTTACTGCGATTATTTTGTAATCTTAATCTACAGTAATACATATCTTCTGCAGGTGGAGGTTTTTCAACATCCAATGATATTGTAGTTTCATTTATAATCTTAATAAATTGTGGTTCCATTTCTTTTTGGTTACGAAAGAAAACAAGATCTGAAGCATTTTTTCCAGAAAATTCATCCAGTATACAAAGTATTCTCAAAGGTTGACCATATTCAAGAACAATATCACCTTGTGGCCAAGTTCCTTAATAAGATAATATATTATTTATAAATTTAAATTAAAAATGTTCATTACAAATTATTTTACAATTCATATTTTACATCAAATATCTAATAAAATATACAATGATTTTACTTTAAATTTTAACTTATACTGTATATTTAGTATATTAAATATAGATATACATTTAGCACCAATATTAGAATTCCAAAAGAAGAAAGATACTAGTATTATATATAGATTCAACTGTAGTAAAAAGTTACAAATGAAAAATTCAAAAAAATGAAAAATTTAAATTTATAAATATATATATATATNATGTATTTTTAAGTAAAAAATTTAAAATTATTTTTTTTTACTTACTTCCAG